GCGTTTACACCTTGCTCTCAGAGCCAAGCACCCCAATTAATTATTGCCTGGATACATACATGAGTTGTTGAATTACTTCTTGCTGGGAAAGATGAACTCCCAGTAACTGTCCTCGCTGCTGACCCCTTGGCATTGATTCTGGCCTCTTCTGCCTCTTCTCAATCAGTCTGGGATCCCTGGGCCTTTTATTTTGACTAGTACAGGCCACTACCAAGGCAACATCTATGTCTGTAAAAAACATAGAAGAAATAAGACGATGAAACATTTTAAAGGAAATGTGGGTAGGTAATTACATGAAACTTGTGGGAAAGCTTAGACTCTTTTTGAATTCTTTCTCAAGCTTCAGGTGATCACAATTAGTAACACCTCACTATTCTTTTCCTTGGTAGGAGTAGACCATTCTTTCATGAGCAGTATCCTGTAATCTTAGACCTTTTCATGACACTTGGAAAAAAATGTCTGAATGTCTATAATAAAATACTCCTGAATGTCTATAATAAAATACCTTTGTTGACCAACCATATGCAACTTGCCAACATGGTTGACGTTTAACAAGAAGAATCTCACAAATGCATTTTAATTTATCAAAGGGAAAATGTATTGGCTATGAGACTGCCACTGGGAGAAGGAAAAGAAAGAGGTAGAAAGACTTTAAGGAAGTTCAGCGCTGTGCCTCATGTCAATCAGATAAAATCATTTTTATTTTATCAACTCAGACTTTGAGGTCTTGTAAGTCTAAGGTAAGACTGAATGATACTGAAAATCATGACTTAATTCTAAAACTCAACAACTTTAGACTCGGAGGCTAAGTTGAATACTATGCCTATATTTATCCTATCTAATAAATTAGATTTCACAGTCTCAACAGTTGCCTTTCTATGTGATAGGCTCTTTCTGCTCACAGGGAAGCAGCTATGATCTGACAATAGCTTAATAGTGTCAGCAGGTCCAATAGTAGTGTACCATTAAAGGAGAAGAAATTCAGAAGCTGAAAGACAAAGTTGAAGCTGGCCTCTTAGTACTGCCCAGAAAAGAGGATTTCCTAACCCAAGAATATGGCTGTTCAATCCTGATGTCCAAAATAGACATGGATAAAATAGTATATCAGAGCCTGAAGAGATTAGCATAGTTACAGTGGCTGCCAGTGCTCACAAATATTTGTGTTTGTTTCTACCTCTTGGACATGTCTTTAGTCTCACCAAGCCTACTTCAATCAGCCCACCTACCCCCACTCTAGCAAGGCAGTTTAGGAAACTTGAGCTCCGCATTCACAGGCTTTCCTGTGATCTGGCCTCTACTAATCTTTGCCTGGATGCAGAACTTTAGCTCAAAATGCTCATGTGTAGTATGCACCCCATCAGCTGGCCTAGAACAGCCAGGGCCTTCCAGGCCTGTGTAACTGGGCCCAACTCCAACCATCTGCATAATCTCCAGTGTGGAGGGGGCCCACCCCCTGAAAATTACCCTGAGGTGGCAGCTATAATTTTGCAACAGTCAGTCCCCATTTGGACTTGCTGCATGATGGGTTCCTGAGCTTCTCCAGCAACCAGGGCTAATAGGTATAAGATGATATCAAGCCAGCTCACCTGGCCTACTCTAACAAGGCAGGCCAGTATCCTTCAGCTCTGCCTTCAGGAGAAATATGTGCATTTGTGTAGATTAGGACTAAAAATTAGGCAGATGCCTTATATACCCAAGATCTTGCTCCTGTGACCTAGCCTCTTCCTGGGTGCCACTGTCCTATTCCATGTCCCTGGCTATCTTGAACTGCACTGCATGTGCATGTGCAATTTGCACCCCTTCAGCCAGGTTTGGGCAGCAAGGTCCCTCCAGGCTAGTGAAGCTGGAGCCTGGCCCCAACCACCCACATAGTCTTCAGTATGGATAAGTCACACCCACCATGAGCTGGCAGCTGCAGATTGGCTGCAGTAGTCCCCATTGGGACTTGCTGCCTGACAGGGCCTCTCCAGCAACCAGGGCTCCCAGGGCTCCCAACCTTCCCTGCCCTGACCTAGAAAGGTAGTTCAGGAAAACAGCTCTGCATTCAGGGGAGCAAATTGCTCATTGGGTAGGTTAGGGCTTTCAAGTTGGCATACGCCTTATCCTTCAAGAGCCCCTCCTGTGATTCTCCTTACCCATTCTCCAGTCAAGTTTTTAGCTACACTGAGTTGTTTGTCACATGCGTGCATAGTGGGATCCCATTCAGCCAACCCTGGGCAGCTGGGGCTCTCCAGATCTGAGGAACTAGGGCCAGCCCCCACCACCTATGGAGCCTTCAAAGTGTATGTAGCCTCCCCCTGGAAAATCATTTTGAGACAGCAGCTTTAAACTGTTGATAGTCAACCCCCATGCATACTAGTTGCCTGGTGGGGTCCCAGGCTTTTCCACAAATTAAGGCTCCTAATGTCTCTTTATTGGAGGATACCCTGGCCAGCCTGCTCAGCCACTCCCCAGCCAAGCAGTTCAGATTTTTCCACCTCTGCCTTCAGGTGGAATATGTACATTTGTTTAGATCAGGGCTTGAATTTAGGAAGATGCCGTGTACCCCCAAGAGCCCACTCTCACGACCAGGCTCCTTTAGACATTTGCCATGCTCCAAGTCCCTTCGAACTCTGACCTGAGTAGCTTACACTTGAGTAATATGCACTCCTTCAGCTAGCCTTCGGCAGAGGGGCCCCTCCAGGTCTGTGAGACATGGGTAAGTTCCCATTTGCATAGCCTACAAAGTGGAGGGAGCCCCCCAAATTGTTCTCAGATGACAGTTTTAAACCGAAGATAGTCAGTGCCCATCTGGATTTGTTGCCTGATGGGATTCTGGCCTTCTCCAGCAATCAGTGCTCCTACATGTCTCTTCTGGAAGGCTGCCCAAGCCAGCCTGCCTGGATCCACCCTGGCAAGGCAGTCCAGGTTCTTCCAGCTCTGCCTTTAGCAGTAATATTCACATTTGTGAGGACTTGTCATTACGAAGATGACCTCTACCCCCAAGACCCTGCTCCTATGACCCAGCCATTCCCAACTCTTGACCTGTCCCAGGTCCCTGGGTGCCCTGACCTGAGTGGCCCATGCCAGCAATGTATACATCCCATCAGCCAGACTTGGGCAGAGGGGCCCTCCAGCCTGTGGAGCTAGGGCCCAATCTCAATTACCTGCATAGCCTCCGGGATGGAGGAAGTCAACCCCTCAAAATTATTCTGAGGCAGCACTTTAAACTGACAACATTTATTCCCCACTTTGACTTGCAGCCAAATAGGGCCCTGGGGTTCTCTAGCAATCAAGGCTCCCAGGTGTCTTTTTCTGGATATCCAAACCAGCTTACCCAGACCCAACCTGGCAAGGGAGTCCAGATTCTTCCAGCTCTGCCTTCAGGAGCAATATGTACATTTGTGTAGATTAAGCTTTGGTATCGGGCAGATGCCTTGAACCCACAAGAGCCTGTTCCTGTGACCCAGCCTTTCTTAACATGTGCCTTGTTCCAGATTCCTTCCTGCTGTGACTTGCACAATCCACACACGCACAGTATACGCCCTGTCAGTTGGACTTTAGCACTCAGGACCCTCTAAGCCTGTGGAGCTTGGGCCCATCCCAAAACACCTGCATAGGCTTTAGAGTGGAGAAAGCCCACCTCCTTAAATTTTCTAAGGTGGTAGCTTTAACTGGTGACGTCTTCAGCACACTTGTTCCTTGATGAGGTCTCAGGCTTCATCCAGCAATCGAGGTTCCCATGTGCAGCCCACCCGGCTTCTCTTTGGTAAGGCAGTTAAATAACCTCCAGCTGCACCTTCGGGGGAAAAATTACCCATTAATACATAGGGCTTATGTTTCGGCTGACATCTTAGACCTCCAAGAGACCACTACTGTGACCCAGCCTCTATCAACACCTGCCTTATTTCAGATGCCTGCCTAGCCTTACCCGCATGGTCCGTGCATTCGCACTATGCACTCAGTCAGCTGGCACTGGGCAGCTTGGGACCTCCAGGTCTTTTAGCTCAGCCTATACTAAATCACCTGAATAGACTTCAGGGTGGAGGAAGGTCATCCCTGAATATTGTTCTGAGGCAGCAGCTTTAAACAAGCAGCAGTCAATCCACATTTGGACTTGACTGAGCCCCAGGCTTCTCTAGCAATCAAGAATTCCAGGTGTCTCTTATTGGAGGAAACCATAGCCAGCCTGCCCGGCCTCACACTGGCAAGGCAGTCCAGATTTTCCCAGTGTAGCTTGCAGAAGGAATATGCACATATGTGTAAGTGAGGGTTTTTAATTAGGCATATGCCTTATACCCCATGGAGGAGGAAAAACTTACTTCTACCCTTCTAAATTCTTTCTGCTGGTTTAATAATAGAATCAACAGGAGACAGATTAACAAGAGAAATAACCAAATTTAATTACATACATATGTATGGAAACCCCACATAAATGAGAGTCAGAGACCCTGTATACATGAAAGGTTCAAACACAGAAAGTTAAAATGATATATATATGGCATTCTGTGATAAGGACTAGGTAAGTTTCCTTGGGGCTTCAGAGGAGAGGAAGGTCATTCACAGGATGTTAAGAGCAGATATTGAGTCATTAGAAGTTTGTAATGCCATACAGATAAGTCATAAAAAATTACTTCTGATAGACTCATTATGGGCAATTCCTCAAATTTAAATTCTTTAAGGGAGAAATAAAAGCTTCTCATGAGCCCACAGGGTCTTCATTGCTTTGGGCTTAAAATCATTCCCATGCCAATATGACACATCTTGAGGACACTTGTTCTGATCCGCTTTACCCCAAAGAGGCATCTCCAGGGACCCAGCCGCCCCAGAAAACTGCTTGTCCCTGGTCCCATTACCCTGACCTGTTGTAATCCACACATACAAATGTACCAAGTATAGCTAGTCAGCTGGTCTTGATCAGCTGGGGCCTTCAGGCCTGGGGAGCTCTAGGGCCCTTCCCGAACCCCTGCATAGCCTCCAGTGTGGA